GCCCAAGCGGGCCAGCAAGCCAGATCCTGGCTGGCCACCCCACTCCCAAAGCATCGACAACCGCTCGCCTGCTCAGTACCTGCAGGGCTGCCACTCCCAGTGCCGCACTCGCCTGAGCAATTAAAGCCGCGACAGCAGACGCTGCCGTTAACGAGCTCTGCGTCCCGGCCTGGCCAAATGCAGCCTCTGGTTCTTGGTGGAGGCCCAGGGCCGCTGCACTGCCGAGCTCCCAGACACCTAGGTGGGAGTTGCAGGAGTCTCAGCAATCAAGTGCCTGACAAAATGAAAATGAAAATGGAAGGAGCTGCCCACAGCTGCAGGCAGCGCGGGAGTGCTGCAGCCCTCCCACGTCGGGCACTCACAAGCTCTGTGTGCCCACAGGCAATCCAGGCGCTGGGCAGGGCAGAGGGACTTAACCAGGTTTCAACATCCAGGATGTTTACCCCCGCTGAATGTCTTAGCAGGGCAGTGAGCTCATCATGAGGAAAAGCAGGTTGGAATGGAAAAGGAAAGCAGAAACCCTGGCTCTGTTCAGCGCACAGGCTCCCAGGGGTGAGCTGGAGCTGGGCAGAAGCAGATTCCTCCTGGCAAAGAGCTGGGAAGGAGGGTGACGCGCGGCAGCCTGGACCTGCACACGGGGACGAGCAGCAGCACAGCAGGGAATGGCTGTGGCCCGGCCGGGGTTGCTGCCCACCGGCCTCGCTGCCAGCTCTGCTACTGTCCCTTGGAGGGATGTCGCCTGGGTGAGCAGCGGTACGTGTTGGCACCTGGGGTTCTCAGGGCCTTCCTTGACTCGCTCCGTGCTGCTGAGGTTCCCCCTCAAACCTCCCCGGCCTCTGGTCTCAGTGCGCAGGAGACCTTGCCTGACTTAGGGGGTACCTCAGCTAGTGGGACACACGCGCAGGTCCATGGCACCTGGCCGGGAGTTGGCCGAGGCCATCGCGGGGCTGCTCAGCCATCGCTCGGGCAGGTCACAGAAACCTGGCGAATGGGAAGGGGCAAGTGTCACCCTCCACATCGAGGCTGAGCAAGCGGCAGCCCCAGGGAAGCCAGTGAATCCTCCCGGCAGTCCAAGTGCCTGCAGGACCAAATGGCATTGGGAACAGCCAGCAGGGATTTACCAGGGGCAAACTGTGCCTGGCCAACCAGTTTGCCCTCTACAAGAAGATAGATGGGCACTCACATTTCTTTGCATCTGCTGCTAACAACACCATAAACCATTAGAACAGATGAAACTATAAACATTCATCTCGCGTCTCCCTAGCTGCCCCCTTCGCACCAGCCCAGGCAGTGGTGCAGTTGATTTGGGTGCAGTTGATTTGGGCGCATAGTGCTGCAGCACTTGGGATTCAGACACTGCACACAAGTGGTTTATGTGATTTCCTTTAACATCCATCTATTTTACTTGGAAATTATTACTGGCTTAGAATTTTCTCCTGCATGGCCATGGGGTCTTTGGTAGGCGAGTGTTATCGGGCACGCCTCCTATTTGAGGTGCTTAGGGACATGGTTTGGCAGGATGGTGCTGAAGGGCTTGCGGTTGGGCTCAATCATCTTGAGGGTCTTTTCCAGCCCTAATGATTCTATGGGGTTGAACAGTGGCTTAGGCTGATGCCAGCAAAGCCTTCTGCGTGGCCTCCAATATTCACCCCATAGCCAGACTGGGGAACGTGGACTACATAAGTGAACGTTCCACGTAAGCCCATGGGACACCAAGATGGCCAAGGAGCCCTTGCAGAGCCAAAGACCCGCACATCCCTTGCCAGGAGGTCTAGACGGACTGCAGGAGGCACACAGCACAGGATCCCGATTCAGCCATGCCTACGGGTCACGTTTGATTCATGCGTTTGCAAAACAGAAGGCTGGGAAGCCAGAATAAAGGCCACCTGCGCCTGTCTGAAGGTCTTGGAGTCTTGTTTTACTGCCCAACAAACCTGTTCTATGGGACATTGACTTGTTTTCCTGGTCTGGGCACGCCTCACTGCTCTAGCCCAAGTCCAGTTTTCCCCTTCGTCATAGAAGCTGGCTAGAATATCACGACGTATCACTGCCTCCTCGGGCGCTGCACCGTCCCTGCGTGCACAGGGCCGGGCAGGCTCTCCCGCTGTGCCGAGCAGGCTGCCCTGCATCCCACAACTTCCCATCCAGCGGGGTCCTTGGCAGCTGCCTGTGCTCCCGTGTGGGGCAGCTGGGCAGCTGCTTTCCGTTGTACCTCTGGAGCGTGAAGGCACGGGCTGTTTCCGTCTCTCTCACTTCTGCTTCGAGCTGGATGCTGCCCCGCAGCCCCAGGCCTGCAGTGCGGTTGCCAGGGTGCCAACTGCAGGCCTCAGCACGGAGAGCCATTGGGCTGCTACGGGCTGCAGGAGATGACAGGCCTAGGGAGGGAAGACGGTCCCGGTGAAGGGTGATTGCGTCCGCAGCAGGCAGGCCAGCCACAGGTATGGATGAAAGCTCTGTGAGCCATGTCTGGCTCCTGAGACAGCAGGGAGAGGCTGCTGTTTGCAACATAAAGGACTATCTTGGTGCTTTTTTGGGGAATTTGGACCTTGAAAGGCCCTTCGGATGCATTCACAGCTCTTCTCCCAGCCAGGCTCCTGGGGTCTCGACCCACCTGGCATCACCCAACAAGCCATGTTCCCTTGGCCACCTAGACCTTTGGAGGCTCTCTGTGGTGCCCAGCTTGGAGCAGAGCTGTGGAGTTGGGCCCAAGAGCCAAGTCTGGGCTCTATGCACAGGGCTTGATGTTTTCAGAGGAGACCATGACCTTCGAGCCATCTCCCCGTAAGGCAGGTGGCAACCTCCCTCCTCGCCTCCATTGCGGAGCTCACTGGCACCTGCCAGCTCCCCGGGACACCCAGGAAGGGCTGTGAGTCACCTCTCGGCTCCGAACAGGGAGAGCCCAGTGCCGCCCAGCACCTCGGCACGATCGGCGAGGAGGGAGCGCTGCAGGTGCCTGTGTTGCCCTCCCTGGGCTTTGCCTCAGCTGGAAGGTGTTTCCAGATTGTGCCTGGCTTGGCAGCAAGTGGCAGGCTGGCCTCCTCCTAAGGGTGTCTTTCCTTAAGCCTGGGAGTTGATTCTGGTTCCCTCTTTCGGTACTTGCTGTTATTCTTTCAAGAGAAGAAAGAGGAAGTCCCATATCATGCCAACATTTTTTTCTGAGGTATATATATAAAGAAAAAAGCAGCAAGCAATCTCCCCACATCAATGCAATGGTGCTTCCGAAACGGGTGCTGCTGAGAGCTCTGCTTGAGACTCAGCTGGGCAAAGAAATCAATCTATAAAATGCACCCACACTGCAGAGCCCACTGAGATTAGAATTTTGTACCCCAGAGGGATTTTATTTTCAAATAGTGTGACAGGCAGTGCCAACCCTTCACATGCCATGGGCCGGAGCACTTTACTAAGTGTGAAGCTGCATGTGCTTGCCCGTAAACACCACCATGTGTGCAGAGGGGCACACATGGAGTATCCTGGCTGTCCCCATGCCCTGTGACCCTGGCTGGTGAAGTGTCTCAGCTCACATCTAGGCCAGGGCAGTGCCTTTGCATCTGTGTGGCCTTTTTTGGTGGATCCGTGGCATGAGGTGGCTTAGCTGCTTCCGCAGCGCCAAGCTTCAGCATATCGGCCCCGGTCAGCAGTGACCTGCAGAAGACAAGGAAAGGGTTTTCTGGCTTTGCCCTTAAAGTAAAGCTGCCTTGAAAAAAGTGGAGGAGCGAGCTGCTGCCTGCTGTGGGGCTGCTCTGTGCATGGAAGGCTGCAGTCTTGAGGGGCGAAGAGCTGTTGAGAGAAGGTCCTGGGTGTCTGCGGTGCCTCCCCGGCGAGAAGCAGCCTGGGAGCACGATGCCCTCCCCGCAGCTCCCGAGGCTAGCACAGCCCTCCTGCTGCAGAACAGGCCCTGTGGGTCAGCTTGCTCACTCCCTGTTTTGTGTGTGTGTGTCATGGGCTGCTGCCCTGAAAAAGCCAAGGGAGCTGCTGGCTTCATCCGCGTGACAGCCTCAGCCGGGGGATGCTTGCGGGACAGGAGCCAGGTGCTAAGCTGCTGCTCCGAGCAGCTTCTGGTCCTTTGGCTCCGAAGCGCTGCAGCTGGGCCTGGTGCTTTAACAGTGCAGCTGCGATGCCGATGGACTCTCGGGGATCCCACTTGTCCCTGGGGGCTGCTGTATAGCCCCCCTAGCAAAAAAGCACAGCACTCAGTTCTGTGCTGGGCTGTGCACGGGATTGATCCCTGCGACACGCTGCGGAGCCCTCCCTGCGCTGCCCTCAATCTTGCAGAGACAGGAGCGTCCCACCTCCTCAGCCAGCACTTTTGCTGCAGAGCAAGAGCACTCTGTCCCATGAGCCACAGAGTTCTAGTGACCAAAGCGATTGGTGAATCTGCCCCCAGATTGTGTGGGTGCCTGATCTCCACTCACAAAGAGTAGTGGGGCATGGGACACCTATCCAGGAATGCGAGCAGCCTGAGGGACCTGTTGTCCCATCCTGACCTCAGGTGGAGATCACAGAATCATGGAATCACAGAGTGGTTGAGGTTGGCAGGGGGCTCTAGAGGCCATCCAGTCCAACCCCTGCTGCAACAGGGACACCCAGAGCATGGGCACCCGGTCGCATCCAGGCGGGTTTGAAGATCTCCAGAGAAGGAGCCTCCACAGTCTCTCCAGGCAGCCTGTGCCAGGGCTCTGGCACTCTCACAGGAAATAAATTCTTCCCCATGCGGAGATGGAACTTCCCGGGTTTCAATTTGTACCCATTACTGGCCACCACCGAGAAGAGTTTGGCCTCATCCTCTTGACACTCTCCCCTGCGGGTATTTATCCTTCAGCAGTGAGGAGCTCACCGTGCTGATGGCAGCACAGATGGTGCCCCCGGCTCGGGCTGCTCTGCCTGCCGTGCGGCCCTCATCCACTAAGGCTCCTCCATCCTTTCTGATGGGTTTTATTCCTCTAATAAACATCAGTGGATTTCTTACCTGTGATTTACTAAGTCTTCTGAATTGCCTGTAAACTGCCAGCGCTGGCAGTATGGTGTGGCAAAGAGCCCCCAATTGCACATTATGTGGGGAAGCTCCTTCTGCTTGTTTGGAAGCGGTGCCAGGAGAGCCTTGTCTGGGATGCCCTTCTCCTTGTCCTGAGAGACACAAGGACAGTTAACCAGCCCCTGTCCCCCTGGTTTCACAATTCACCATCTCTTTGCCAAGCCGAAGCACTTCAGGCCCTCACTAGTTCTGTGAAAAGAAGTCATCTGCCAAAATGCTCAAAGCTGCTCCAGATCTCCCCTTGCCTCCCTTCTCCCCGTCCACGTCGTGTATTAAACAGCCCAGGTCTTGGCAGAGATCCCTGGGGGGCTCTTGGAGGGCACCCCTGCACACATGTGTCCTCCTGCCCTCTTTCAGCAACTCTTTCTCTTTGTTTCCTACCCTTTGTCACCAGTTGCCCTGGCACTGCCACTGAAAACAGGGAAGTGGTTATCTTTAGGTCTTCTCTTATCTCTTGGCCTGTGTCCTCTGGGCACCTGACGGTATCAACTTGAGAAAAAGTGAAATGGTCTTAGGCAGTGTTGGTCAACGACCTGAAAAGTGAAGGAACAGCTTGTTCTGGGGGAATGAGAAGTGCTTTTCATTCCACCTGAGTCTGCTGTGTAGTGCGTTTGTTTTCCTCCATGGGCTGTACTGCTCGGGTGTGACCAGCTTTCTTTGGACAGCTTATGACTGGCCTGCTTTTCAGAGGCAAAGGCACAATTGGCCTCTGGGATGAAGCCACCAAGACCCTCCTGACAGCTGGTCAGTCCTGCAGCCTGCGGGCCAGCAGGAAACCCAGTCTCACCACATCGCTTCGAGTCCAGTCTCTGCAGCAAGGGAGGGGACATCATCTGCAAAGATGGGACCCCACAGCCGAGGAGCCAGAGGAGCCACGAGGGCATCTTCAAAACTAGTGGCTCTTGTTT